CTGGATCTTGTTTTCGAACGATTACAAAAACATGGCATTACTGTAAACGTTCAGAAATGCCAATTCGGAACCGATTCGTTAGATTTCCTAGGACACACTATCGATGCTCAAGGCATTCGACCTCTTAGGACCAAAGTGGCGGCCATTCTGGATTACCCAGAACCGACCAACGTCAAGCAATTACGCACGTTTAACGGCCTGGTAAGTTTCTATAGACGCTTCATACCGAAATGCGCATTACTTATGAAACCTCTTACTGACCAACTTCGTGGAAATGCGAAATCCATTAATTTGGACGACACCGCACGAAAAGCATTCTCCACAGTTAAGGAACTGATCGCTAAAGCAACAATGCTCGCACATCAGGACACTGAAGCACCCATTAGTATCGCAGTAGACGCATCCGACTCGGCAATCGGAGGAGTCTTACAACAATGGATTAACAACTCCTGGCAACCCTTGGCATTTTTTTCTAGACGGTTGCTAGACACCGAATCGAGATACAGCACATTCGGTAGGGAACTCCTAGCTATGTATTGTGCTGTACGGCATTTTCAACACTATATCGAAGGCCGCGAATTCACTCTATTCACTGACCATAAACCGCTCACTTTCTCGTTAAGCTCTCCTTCTGACAAGTACTCTCCCCGTGAGTCTCGACAACTGGACTACATTTCGCAGTTTACTTCAGATATTCAACATATTTCTGGAGCAAACAATGTAGTTGCAGACGCCTTGTCTCGAATAAATTCCTTGAACAGTTTCCAAGGAATCGACCTTCTTAAACTCTCCCAGCTTCAAAAAGAAGACACTGATCTTCAGCAAGAGTTATCGTCCACAACCCTTAAACTACGCATCAAACAGATGGGAACAGGTAAGGAAACCTTACTTTGTGACACATCTACAGGAAGGGATCGCCCAATCGTCCCGAAACATTATCGACGCAATGTCTTCAACACATTGCACAAACTTTCTCATCCAGGTGTTCGTGCAACCATCAAGCTCATAGCAGAACGCTTTTGCTGGCCTGGTATGAATAAAGACGTGAGGGAGTGGGCACGCTCCTGTATAAGCTGCCAAAAATCTAAGGTCATCAGACACAATAAATGTCCCTTAGGCTCATTTAAAACTCCCGATGCTCGTTTCGACCATGTTCATCTGGATTTGGTAGGACCTTTACCAGATTCAAATGGATACTCTTACCTCTTAACCTGTGTAGACCGTTTCACTCGATGGCCAGAAGCAGTACCTATCAAGGACATCACTGCTGAAACAGTGGCCCGAACCTTCGTCGAACGATGGGTAGCAAACTTCGGTTGCCCTTCAACCATCACTACAGACCGCGGACGTCAGTTTGAGTCTGAACTTTTCCATCGTCTGACCACACTATTAGGAAGCACTCGCTTCCGAACGACCGCCTACCACCCACAAGCAAACGGGTTGGTAGAACGCTTTCACCGACAACTAAAAGCTTCACTATCAGCTGCAAACGTTTCACAGTGGACCGACGCTCTTCCACTCGTCTTACTAGGTATCCGCAATGCAGTGAAAGCTGACATTGGATACACTGCGGCTCAACTCGTTTATGGAACGACACTTCGACTTCCAGGAGAATTCGTGGATCCTTCATCCTCTTCATTGAGCATGGATCTAACCTCTTACACGAACAGGCTTACAAACGCAATGCGTTCAGTTAAACCTGCTTCCACTCGACCTCAATCAACTGATGTTTTCATTCAACCTGAGTTACGATATAGTACACACGTTTTCGTTCGTCGAGACTCGCATCGACGACCTTTCGAATCAGCATACGAAGGACCTTTCAAAGTTCTTCAACGCGAACCGAAGTACTATATAATCGATAAGAACGGAACCAACGATAGCATCAGCATCGATCGCCTCAAAGCAGCGTATTTAGAAGGAAATCCTATCTACGTGGATTTTCCTTCGGTACAATTGAACGACACGACTCCGACACTTATAATACCTCATCCGACAACCAACACACACGATGATACTTCGACAGTATCCGAAAATAAACTTAAAACGACGCGTTCTGGAAGAAGAGTGAGATTTCCAGAACATTTAAATGACTATTGCACGTAAGGCACTTCTCGACATTTTCTATATTATTAAAAAATAATTTTTTTTTAAATAGGCTTATATATTTTCATTTCTATTTAAAAAAAAAAACAAAAAAAACGATTTTACGAGTTTATTTTCCTTTTTTTACGCACATACGAGTGTATTTTCGACATGCACTTACATTCTCTTTCTTCTTTTCCAGGACGGCTGGAAAAGAACGATGACGTTTATGAGGATACGAAACTTTCATTGTACATTTCTTTTTTTACTATGTTGTACCCCGGTCCCATATAGTAAGGAAAGACGACCAGACGCTGCTAAATTTAGTAAGCTATCAGAAGAGTGTTTACCAACGACAAACGCGTTGGGTTTAAACTTCTGGCTGGCCACGTCTTAGGGTCATCACTGCCCCACTAGGGGGGGAGTGATCTGTAGCGGTAAATAAATCCCCAAACTAAATAGCTCAATAGGTTTTCGACATTGGATGCTGACCATATGTTTTAGTGGACTCATCTAGCTGAAGGCGCTCGGTCATGCATCCGCACCAGATCACGTGCTGTCACGCTGTGCTCAACAACAATCGCAATCACTAGCCAGATTAGATCAGAGATTCCCGATATATTGGTTATTGCCAAATACACTCCTCCGATCTCCTCGACTCTGTCTTTTGATTTCTCTCGGTGGGAACAAAGCATATTAGAAGGTGTTATTGGTAGAAGCGTTGTCAAACACTGAATACCTGTATCATCCTCAAAGTGAAGGAAGAGAAACGAAGTGAAGCTAGGTGCAACAGAGAAATCGAGTGAGCCAACATGTTTTGATTAAGAATGACTCAATATTTATATTCAGACAAAGATAAATTACAGACATGTTAGGAATAGGGCAAGCAGTTGACACACATACGATCATATGAAAAGCAGTCACTGTTAATATGTGGACAATTGACAAGGTAGAAATGTGGCTTGAGAAGAATGAATAAATCTATCTGTCCAGAAACCAGAATAACCTATTTGGGCTTGGCGTAAAACAACCTAGTCCCAAAATTGTAGATTTTCATAATGTAACTACCTAAGAGCTAATGTGGATTTACGTATACACAGAAAAGAACCTGGGGTTCGCTGTGTAAGTTTTTTTACGTGTCGTAACCCATTGACAGTATGCACCCAACAAAGCATATCATGTCTTGGGGCTACTTCCCAGAATATTTGGTAATCTGAATTCGTGACTATTTAAAAGTACTTTCAGGAAAAAGTGTACAGGATCACATTTACAAATTATCATATCTTTTATAACCTCGCTCAATCTTACAGACGTTTCATCTAATTCAATAATGAATTACACCAAACAGAACATCAATTTGAAACAAAAAGATGAGTTAGAACAAAGTTTCGTGCAAAGTGTTTCATGATTAAGGTCAGTAATCTATGGAAGCCTTAAGTAGATAGATAGTGACGGTACGTTGACAGATTTTTCAAGAAGTTTTGATCTCGATCTAAGCTCTGTATGCAGTGATAGTGAATAATTCAAGTGTACTCAACGATTAGCTCCAGTAAGAAATATATTTTTGTTATATCCTATTAAGTAGAAAAATTGTATTTTTGGCGGTTCGTGATTTAATGCAAGCCACTTCTTCAGAATAAATGAGTAACCGAATCGAATTAACTCAAATCTAGATAGTATAAAGGAAATAATGAAGAATGTTTTCGGTAGAATCAAAGTCATGATAGATTTCAATATGACAGCGCCAACGCCCAGTTATTCTTGGTCCAGTTGAAATTGTGTGTCCCGTTATTGTATTGATTTGTGTATCAAACTGTGGGTATAAAAAACATATGTATTTGTAAAATCAAGCGGTGGGTGTGCTCGCGTATGGAAAATAAATACGAACATATATGGTTGTTTGGATAAATGGTCCAAGTTGGATAAATATCCAGGTCTTCTTTCCCATTTAGGGCAGAGGGTTTCAACATAATGTTAGACGATTCAGCTACTCGCGTCTCTTTATAGTTGGTAAAGCCTTCCTGGACTATTCTGATATCCGTGTGATGATGATTGAAAATAGCATTTCTTGCTATTGCTGATTTAATCTGTAAAATTTTCAGTTCTACAAAATTATTAGGAGGCCTTTTTGTGTGACGTTAGTGTTTCTTGGCACAAGTTGAGATCTCACGGGAAGAATCTCGAATATAGGACGCATCCCAATTGACATTATGTGATCTGCTGACACAACTTTGTATAGGCGTAAATGGGATCGTATCTTTATTTCTAAGGCGTTGTCTTATAGAAAGTTGTAATTTTGTGCGCTTTCAATATCCGTTGTCAATCTTCCGTCGTGCCTTGTCGGTGGGGTAAAATAACAGGGCCAACCCAATAAATTTCATCAGGATTTTTTTTACAGGCGAACGGTTTCGTTTTCATATGTTTCGAATAATATTTCTAGAAAAATCATTAAATTTTGGAACATTTGTTACATTTTCTTTTCAAGGATGTCTTCTGAAGTCATGGTCCTGGTTGCTCTTCTAAAGTGATTCAGGTCTTAAGAAAAATTTTCGGTGAATGGATGTGCAAAATTAAAATCAATAAACCGATTTAAATGTATATTGAAATCTAATGCTTTCGCCCATCATTTTCAAAGGGAACACACCAAGAACTTGACCTTACCTACCAAGCATACACAGATCTCAAAAAAAGTAATCTGTTGGTTCTACAAAGCACAGTTTGAGGTTTAACGTTTGTTATTAATTTACGGACACTTCCATTTACTTATGATTCCAGTGAAGTGTATTTGAAGGCATAGACGATCCATTGTAACTGCATGAGGAAGGCACTCGAAAAGAAGCATATGACATTCCGCTCACAATCATTTGAAGCATTTGAGCTTTCTGATTGTTTGGATGTTTTAAAAATACTTGTTCACAACTGCGCCAGATACACGAGGTGCGCTACTTCGTGTTCGCACAGACTCATGAGCATTCACAATAATGTCAGACAAGGTTGATAATCTGCGTTGCTTTTCTCAACCGCTTATTTATTTAAATGAAACAAACAGCGTGACACCAGTATCACTGCCAACTCTCAGTTTATTAAACGACAATTCCCGAAACAGTGTTAATTTCGATAAAGTTCATCTTTCTCTTAGCGTACTAAGATTGGACCCTGCAGACCGCGCAGTAATAAAAATCGCAGGTAACGCTAGCTATTCAATTAAATTATGATTAATTTTACTTTGCTGCGTACAATCTTATCTTTGTCGAAATTTTAACTAAGTCAACTTTCCAATATCAGGAGCTTCATTTGCAAAATAATGAATTACTATATGACCTAATATACTTGCGATCGCTTGCGCTTTAAGCACTTTAAAGTGCTTCTGGTCTCATGTTTTTTGAACTTTATGCTCCTTCAAAATGCTTGTACGGGTTGTGATGCTCTTACCGTCTTCAAGCTTTAGTACGATTCGTTAGCTTTGATTAATCTCGACTACTCGCTAATCAAGTCATCTGCAATCATGGAACACGCCTCTTGTCTTCTTGGAGGACGTTTGGCTTTGGAAAACGTAATTCCTACCATGCTTAAAAGCTACGTGCTAGATAACCTTCAGCCACCATGTAGTATAGATACTTGTTTGCTAACTTTAGGAGCAAATAAAAACTGATCGTATTACAATTCATCCAAATTTCCCAGTGTAATCAAGTCCTCTATCTTTTAAAATCGACAAATAACAAATCTAATATGAAGAGAATTCTACAACTCATGCATTTACGACAAGGAAAAGACATTTGTGGCCGAATCGCTCACGTAAATTTAGTGCTGTTTCTGACTTTGTCGTGCTACATCTTTAGTTTTTCATCTCTTAATACGCTCATTTGATACTACCCGATTCATTCATTGAAACCATTATATTTCTAGCGTAAGTGTCCTGGCAAACAATTCGGCAACATCGTGTCGTCTTCAAATGCATATGTTGTATACATGTATATATACGTTTAAATTCATGTTTTCATGGAGTCGTTGCTTTTCAGAGTTCCTTACTTTTTTCTGATTTTGGAATTACAATTATAATTTCTCTTGACAATAGTTACATACTGATCTTCAGAGAGCTTTTAACATCAGCGACGTGGAGGTACCGTAGTAGATATATTAGGTTGTTGAAACAGTATACAATCTATCCCCGTTAGGTGAAGTATCTTGATAAAGTGTAATCTGTGTTTGTATGGGATAGAGTACATGAGTTGTGTCTTTAAAATGTTTATCCAACCACGTTATAGATATGTTTCTACCCATAAATATGTTTTTCTGTTCAGTCTTACCTTCTTAGCCTCACACCAAAGTTATCTGCGACTAGTATGTAACCCGTCTTGATCACCTACCGGTGAACACTCTTTACATACAAGGTACAGTCATTTAGTATGTATACAGACTAAACCATTTTCGTGCATCATGATTTCCCTATTTTGGCTACTACACAGAATATGGAGATTAAGTACTGAGATTCTAACTACTCAGGATGAATTACGAAGATTGACTGTTGATTTAGTGAGGTTAAGTGATTAGGAAAATCAATGGTAAAAACAGTATAGGACTTGACACAAATATGTTTTTGCAATTTGCAACAGTTCACATCAGCACATTTTGACGAACGAACAATTGAGGGTTATTGTAAACATAACTATATGGTTACTTGTTAGGTTGCGCTTTATATGTACAGTTATGGTTGATTGGTTTACAAACGTGAATCGCAAGTTCGACTCTCATTCTACTCATGCATTGATTTACTTGCACAAGTATTCATATGTATGTAATTTTTGTAGCATATTTTTAAAAATTATTGTAGTTTAATAAAGTATCGTCTTAAGGGTCTAAATCAAGATTATTACTACTTATTACTATATATCGTTGTTTTGTTAGTAAAAGCCCAACTTTATGGTTCGACCATTCATATACTTACTACCAAATCACTATCAATAGCTTTATTTCGAATATTGTAGTCTTTATAAAAAGTTGGTGTCACTGAACTTGACGTTAGACGTAGTGTGTTGAACTTACACTAATATGGTTTTTAAGAATTAGGGCTAACAATGAGGTCCGAATTGACTGGAAGGTGGGAGACGTACAAACTGATTTCCTCCAATCGCCTATGAAATTTTACCATGTTTGTTTCGTGTTACTACTTTGTATGTGAACTTGCACTTTATCAGATTGAATATCTATTCTTCTGGCTGATGATCTTGTCTTCGATTTCAAATAATTTAGTGGGATACTTTTGTATTCTGGTCTCGGGAACAGACATCACTCGACCATAGTTTACTTCGTTACATTTTCTTCCGTTTTAATAATCGAAAATTCTGTTCAGAAAATAATAAAATCCACCTCTATAACGTATGAATCCAATTAGTTTTGTATTTGCCTGTTTTTCGACGGTTGTCTGCACTTACTGTTTTATATACAAACAAATGTGTATGTTTTCTTTTTTGGAAATATATGGGTCTTTACCTTCTGTTTTTAAAATTTTTCTATTAGATGAACGTGATGCAATACAAAAGAAAGCCTTCACCAATTGGGTTAATCAACATTTGGTTAAGGTAATTATCATTATTGGTTGTTCTTCACAGTTATCGTTACTACTGATATATAGTAGGGCCTTTTCACTTTTCTCATTTTTAAGTCTTATTGATATTTTAAACAGATCACGTTAACTGATGTTCACCCATTCTTTTATCAAGTGTGCATTATATTCATTTTCATCTGTGTATTCGTATTTTTTGTTCACTTGAATTAGGTTCATTTGTTGTAGTAATGAAGTAGCAGTACTCTTTGTAAAAAAAACAACCGAAACATGAAAATACAGACATTGACTATATTGTATGGGTGGCTATCTGTGTAGAAAGTAATTTCCTACAGACACAATTCTAAACTATTCCACAGACTGTTGAGCACAGAGTCCTAGCTTACTTGTCCTGACCTTGGCTAAGCTAAGACTGTGCCCGACAGTTTAAGGAAATTAATTTCCACAACCTATTTGTTAATAAGCATTGAAAAACGTCTCAAATGACGAGGGATACTTACTATTTTAATGAAATAAGTCATTGTGGCGAATCTCGATAGTATAATGACCTTCATAATAGTACTAACATCCAATTTCGTAGTGATAATTTTCAATTAAGAGTAGTATGAAGTTGATTCAGGTTATTGGACTATTTAAATACAAACCATAAAAGCTTCATTACAAAATTAAGAAACACGGTGTATAATGTTGTGCTTCCATAACGTAAACACTTAATGCCTCCAAGATCGTTCATAATCATGTAAGAAAAGTCGAAAAAAGTCGAATTACTCTGAAACTGCATCCAACGTTTTGTATAAACAATGCTACTATTTCTATTCTTAGGTATATGTATCACCTCGTTGCTAATATTCACCAGTGAATTTCGGTCATTCGTTCTGAGTATACATGTTGTCGCGTGTTCCATCAAACACTGATCAGAATTCTGTTTTGAATATCAACAGTTGATTGTACAAACAATTGCTAACATTATGGCTGTTTGACAATTTATCTAGGCGTGAGCACGATTTATCTATCCTGTGAATAAACTCATTATTTTCAATTGATTGTTCGCTGAGCTGTGACCAATGTCATGTATATCAAGTACTTCTAAGTTTTGATGGAATTTCGTCGCTCGAAATGCATTATGGCCACTAGCCTAAATGACTCAAAATTGCATGCACTATGTACAGATATCCCAGTCCTACACATGATCAATGGCGACCCTGATAGCTCGTTGATGAAGTCTGACTATGAGGTTAGGTGAGCATCGGTACCCTCAAGATTACAGATACACCTTGCTGACGAGTTCTAACTAGCATGAGACATAGACCAGAGTTTCCTGTCGACCACATCTAACCAACATTTACAACATAATTATGTGAAAATTCCTCATATATATATATATATATATATATATATATATATATATATATATATATATATATATAGCGAGAGAGAGAGAGAATGAGATATTTGTAAGCATAAATCCTTTATGTTTGTCTTCGTAATTAGAATTAAACTGCTTGTATCCGCACAACTAACCATTCAATTTTCTTTGATAGTCAAGACAATTTCCGACATTTGCTTGGTTAACTATTTTTCGTTTTCAAATTTATTTATCAAACATGTTTTCATATTACTTGACTGGTAGTACACAGATATATATATATAGCATATGAACACATACCTTTGTTATCGATCAAAACTCAGAATGAATCAGTTGATTATCATACTTCATACCACATAACGTTTTTTAAAAAACTCATACATTCAAAACGAATGCTTAATTTGTCAGTTATCTTTATCACAATCACCTTAATAACAATCAAATTTTTTTCTAGCGCTTCAGTTAAATCCTACTATTACACAGATAACATGTTACATAAGCATCGTTCGTTTTTCTGTCAATAATATGCTTACATTGTAACTAGTGAATCGAATTGACCACTTTAATATTTACAATCAGACTTAAGATTTTTGAAACAAAAGTAAAATGAATAATCTACATCTGGAAGTTTTATATAGTTACAACTTCATTCGACTTGGTTTTATGTAATCGACTAGAGTTTCTGCTCCACATATAATAGTGAATGTACAGTCAGTGAGTGTTTTTATTTGAAGTTTACATGTTAGCTAATGGTTCTTTCACTCATGTTCACAACAACGTTTGTGTCTGTGTATTATTAATTATACGCTAATAAAAACCATTATATTGTGACGTTAAATTGAACTGTTTGGTATATGGTCATGATCATTTTCTCTTGGCTACTTCTATAAATATATGACTTCAGATTATTTTTGACTTATGGAAGATATAATTAATTTATATATGTTTACTTATGAATTACTAACTAATTGGTAGAAAAAACACAGAATTTATCATATTGCTTCTAGCTAACTAATTGTCTTGTGCACAGATGGTTTGTATAATTTTGACTGTTATTTTAGTAATTTTCTTTCAAGTTTAACATTTACACGTTGAAATTTTAGAGATCAATGTTACTGATATATTTTAATAGCTTTTCCACACTATCTTGACGGCCACCGTTATTTTTTAGTGTCGCATGTCATGTACGACATTTGTAACATTCAAAACATTGCCAATAGACACTAGTAAATTTACAGTTCAGTGATAACACTCAAGCTTATATGATTATAGAAACCAGTCCTATGAAGATTTACCTAATTTCGATAGCTCCTAGAGACTTCTAGTCATTTGAAAGCCACTAAAAATTATTACTGCATCATACATTATTCATGTTCAGTAAAAACTTATTAATATCCAATATACGCTATCATATATATATATATATATATATATATATATATATAATATATATATATAATATATATATATATATATATATATATATATAAAGAATGTTAGTACAAAAGTGTTAATAATTCAAGCGACACCAATCGAATTGAAACGATTGTGTAAAGTGAGTTAAACAAAATTATGCTTTTATTTTAATACATAAACAACAAATAAGTTTTTTAGATGTTGGCACTTGTCAGCAAGGCGTATCAAACAAGTACCAAGAGTATGGAGCAGGATTTCGTTCGAAATTTTTTTGTCTACTACGTTTAACCACTTAATATCTCAATATAGTAAACACTATGCCAAGTTACTTAGACTAGTGATATTGGTCACATAAACATAAAGTCTTATCGCTTTTATTGTCTCGCTATCATTTTGATTGTGAGTGTAACGTGTCACTTTACGGAATGTTCGCCAAAAGGTTCACAGTGACTCTCTGGTCATTATGTGTTGTTTTTTTCCCAAAGACTTCATAGATTATCGATATTCTTGTGATACAAAAAAGTACCGTTAATCCCAAAGTAAAGACTGATATTTCTTACTTTTCTAAAAATTCCTTTAGTTATTTTGATCATAATAACTGGAAGAGTTTAGATAAACTTTTAAACAATATGTGACACCAAAGAATTTCAAATTTTAAAATTCTTTTACTGTTATTCGTATATTTGTTTTACTCAGTTGGTGAACTCGATGAAATTGGTTTGTACACTTTAATGAGTACATTCAATGGAGTCGAAGACTAAATCATTATTTTTTTAACTACCTACCATAGTATTATTATACACAAATGAAGAAAAAATTGCAGTATCCTTCAAGCTACCTAATTTATTTTATACGAAGTATGACGTTTATAACATAAAAGATGTGTGATATGATAGGCCATTACATAATGTGAACCTGTAAACTGTTGTAAAGTATTAGAAAGAGAAAAGTAGTAAAGTGAAAATATCAGCAGAAAGTATGTAAAAATGTAATTTGATTAGGAACTCAATCAATGTAGATTTCGTCCAGTTAGATGATGGATCATACGATTTTCAAAAACGGCCGTTTCTGCTTTCTATTTTTAACCATTTACTGCAACATTTCAAGCCGCTATGATACATTGTTTCTACATTAATCAGACGGCATTCATCAGTTACTAACCACTGGAAGTAGTTATACTAACTTTTACATCAACTATGGATATTGACATGATGGGTGTCTCCTCACAACATATCTTTCGTTGACAACCTCTAAAGAGCATGGTGTTCATCTATCACTTCATACACTACTGAACAAGGCTTTGGGTGCAGCTTCTTTTACATATCCACCATTGCTAACTATAGCATCAGTGACAGTCCCCAATCGACCCTATTTTACAAGGTCGATTTTCGTCAAAGAGTATCACAGAATCACGTCGTTGTAGCTTGTGACGTACTTTATCTCATTTGCGACTCATCCAAATGGCTTGAACATGAGAGATTTAAATCTCGCGTTGTACCTTTATTTTTTTTAGCTTATTTTTAGTTTTCCTATTAATATTCTTTATGAAAATTTACTGGAAGCCCCAATCCTTCAGTCACTTGATATTTCTTTTGGTCACCCTCTTCGTTCATAAATCTAAGGGACTTCGATAAAAATAGGTCGTGTTAGAATGAAATATTTTAGATGTAAGAAGTTATCTTCATATTGCTTTTTGTTTGTACTATATTCATAAACACAAAATGAACTAAAATGAATCTGTCCCTGGTACAGCACAAAAACAACCTAGTTGTACTTGACGTTACGGTAAATCAGACAGTACCTTATTTATTGGCTGTTTTGATAATTGATCATTTTTTGAACCGTTTTAAATTAAACTGAAGACGAAATATTATTTTAGTTAGATAATTTTGTATATAAATAATTTAGTTTTCTTTCTACAGCTTGCATGTTCTCAGTGTAGTTTCTATTATCACTGTTGTTCAGTCAACCCAAAACGTGCATAAATAATTATGCATATATATATATATATATATATATATATATATATATATATATATATATATATATATATATATATATATATATATATATATATATATAAATTAAAGGGAATTTGCATACAAACTATGTAATTGTGCATATACACATGTAGACACACTCCGACAAATTTTCACATCCATTTAATGTGTACAGCAGATGAAATAGTCGATTATTTTAGCTAGATTGATACCGTTAATAGACAGACATGAAAT